CCGTTTATCATCGTCGGTTGGCGGTGTCGGTTGGGGCTTTGGAGAATTTTGGGCAACCGTCGGTTGGCGGTTTATAACCGACGATGGCATCGGTGCACCATATACTCGACAACACCCTCTTTTCTTTTTTGCCTGATATATTTCCCGAACCTCTCCCAGTTCCCAAGTCCCAACTTCTCCCTCGTTGCCCTGCCATCCTTATCTCTCCACTCTCCTCAAGACCTCAACCCCTCACATCCAGCATTCCCTATCCCCAACGCGAGCCTCAACCCTCCCTCTTTCTCAACCCATCATCACCCTCCATGGCACCTCCTAGACCAAAACCAGACATGCAATCAACAAGAACCCTAAATCAAAATTCTCCCCACTGCCCAGAATTGACGCCGCCGCCCCTTCCTTTCTTTGCCGTCGGCCTCGATTCGTACGACCATCAAACCTCTCCCTCTCTGAACTCGCCGCCTCACCACTAGCTTCCTTACCCAGTTATGTTCTTCGCCTGCCACCACCAAAGTCCAAACCACCCCATCCTAAAACTCATCGCCCACCGTTCTGCATCTTTGCCACCACCACAAAGGAACCGTCGCTGTCCACAGCTTCAATCCGCTGCGCGTAGGTCCAATCGCTCGATCCGAGTCCAAGGTCGCGCATCCCGCCATCGGAATAGAGAAAGTTCCGATCGATTGCCTCCCTCGTCTACCTCGATCGGCGTCGCTTTGCCTTGCATGTTCTACGCGGCGGCAGCAGATTCAGATCTGGATCTGCCTGATGCCTCTTCCTCCGACGGTCTTTCTCTGTCAAGATTTGGCAGCGAAATGATTTGGGCATTTGGCAGCTCGTCGGGTCTCCTTCAAAGGCTAAAACTCTGCCTTCCTTGAAGCGGAATCGGCCGCCGTCCCGTCAACCCACCCCCTGCGTCGGTCTTTAACTAACCGTGACACCGAACCGAAATCGTCGACGGCGGTTTTCGGCTAACCGACAAGTCAATCGGTGTCGGTTGAGGTTTTTGGGTGATTGTTGGATGCGGTTAACCGCGTTTGCGGTTCGGTTAAAACCGAAACCGCATCGTTAACTGCCCTACTGGTAGGGTGCGGTTTTGCAAAACGCATGGAGCCCGGGCGGTTTGGTTGCAAACCGCACCCCCACCATGCGGTTTGTAATATATTTTTTCTTCTTTAAAACAAATGTCACAAGTGGTCTTGGCACAACTGGTTTAGTTGTTTATTGTTTGCAAGAAGTCATGGGTCCGAATCCCCACCATCCCATTTGATTTTTATTTTATTTTTTAAAGATTAAAAACAACATGTTGTGGGAGTGGTGGTTCGAACCCAAATAATAAATAGTTTACTAAATTAACACAACATCTAAACCATTCAACTACAACTCTTCTCTTGAAAGAATAATATATTGACAAAGTTTTACTCCTTGAAAGCTAAAAATCCTCAATAACTTTAAACAATCATAACTTTGTGCTCCAAAATCCGAACGTCAAGATTTTTTTTCATTTCGCATAAATTTTTAAGAACTACAATTTTTACTAGGAATGAATTTTCAAAACATGATTTATTTTTGGATATACAGGATTTTGAGAATAGCATACCTTCCCTTTTCACCAATTCACATACATTTCGAAATGATGTCTATGATAAAAGTTGTATTTCTTAAAAAGTTATGCGAAAAAAAATTCATGTCGTTTGGATTTTGGAGCACAAAGTTATGTTTGTCCAAAGTTTGATGAAATCGAAAAAAGCTCGTTCGAGGTAGTAAACGACATTTTTTCGGGACGAAGGCCGGACCAAACCACCTTCGGCAGTTTTCGGGCTGACAAGATCTCGAAAATTTATGCGGGATAAAAAAAATCGTGACGATCGGATACCCGAACACAAAGATACGTTCGTTTTAAGTTTCCACCTAGGTTAGGATTTTTCAAAAAAAAAAAAAACAAAGAGACCAAAACGCATGGTTGGGTGCGGTTTGCAACAAAACTGCGTTGTGGGGGTGCGGTTTGCAACCAGACCGCCACGACCCCTTGCGGTTTGCAAAACCGCCCCCTACCAGTGCGGTTTTCATCGAAAAACGCCCCACGGGTGGCAGTTTTCGCCTAAACCTCTCATTCGGGTGGCGGTTTTTGGGAAAGGGTGCTATTTTTGGAATTTTTCGGAGGTGGGTGCTATTTTTGAAAAAATCCCAACATTTTGTATCTTATTAGAACAAGATGAATAATTTATGGATGTTAGCAGTCTTATGGAGATATATTTGTAGGAAAATTTTTGATGACATTACGAAATAGGTGTTCGTAGAAATAATGTATGGTTTATATTCTTAAACCCATGGGTACCCACTCTTATAGGTGTACCATTGGATTAATTTTGGATTAGAGAGGTGCGATCCAACCTGACCCATTATCACCACTAAAATCAACTAATAATCGTATAAACGATTTCGATTATAACTAAACCAAACCGACTAATATCACTAATATATTCTTTTTTTTATATAGAAACCTTCATTCATTTATTTAACTAGAAATCTCATGGTGTTCAACACAATCCTCTTGAAAAAGAGGTACAAGAAAATGAGGTGGGCTCTCAACCCAAACCTCTTCACCATCCCATTCACACTCTACATGGGCCATAAGATGAGCTGGCTTGTTCTTCTCTCAGGCCACATACTTCCATTCCACTCTACCCAACGCGCGGGCCTTGTCCTTAATCTCCCCACAAATGAGCCAAACTTCTGTCTTCCTATCCTCTTCTCTTCGCAATTGCTGAATCACTCCCAAGCAATCCGAAACAATCGCCATTTTCCTAACACCCAACCTTCTTGCCAGCTCTAAGCCAAAATCAATCGCCATGGCTTCCGCTTCCTCTGGGTTCCATTGGACCCTTGACCTCCTCACCGCCGCGAACCTAAAGCCCCCTCTCCCTCTTGAACCACCGCTCCCCATCCCGTTCCTCGACCAGCCATACATGCAGCATCGATCGAGATCTTCACAGGGGCCGTTATCGGTGGCTGCCACCGCCGATTCTCAGATGGTTCGGCCGGTTGATGCTACTCTTGCTTCTCCAGGTAATCTTGTAGCCATTCATTTGCTCGCGGCATAATTTCCCATTCCTCTAACTTCGTTTTGTTCCACAGCTGGCAATTTCGCTGATCCCATATAAACCTGAGAGCAACTAAGAATTCGCCCAACTTCTCGTCAGATTCAGTCACCTGGAGCTCGCAGAACCACTCTTCTGAGGTAAGGGCTTCCCCTCTTTCTGCATAGGAGTTTATAAGGCTATATCTCCATACTCGTCGAACCCAATCACATTGATGGAAAATGTGTTCTTGCGTCTCCCTTATATCGCAAAAGGGGCACCCTTCACTACCCTTTTGCATTCGAACAAAAATGCGTGCTCCTGTAGGGATTATATTCTTCAGCCATCTCCAAGCAAAGATTTTTACCTTTGGGGAGATTCGCAAGTTTCAAACCCTCTTCTAGTTTACAGGGGTGTAAAGTTCTCCTTCTTCTTCAATGTTTATGTCTTCCCATAGTCTGACTTTACCGTATATCTCCTTGACTTTTCCTTGTCCCAGATCAATTTATCTTCCATAGGTTGCCGCGCGATGCGAATTTTCTGAGTTGACTGCCACATCATAAAAATTTAACGGAGAGTAACTAAATTTGAACTGTTGAACTAATTTTAGTGACCATGAATGAAATAAATTAATTTTAGTGACAAACGTTAAACGTTTTGGTAATTCCAGTGACCAAACTTGCAATTTCTCCATCTGAATCGCTATTCGTCGTAAGATTAAAAACAAAATTGCCCTAAACCACACTAAATTGACACATATACCCCTAACTTTAAAGCTAAACTTAACCCTAGCAAATATTTTATCCCCAACCCTAAACCCGGCTCTCAAAATCTCGCAAAAAAGCTGTCGTCCACCCCAGAACTACTCTCCGCTGCCGCTGCTGCTAGGGGTGGGCATTCGGTCGGTTCGGTTCAAACCGAACCGAAATAATGTATACCGGATTTCCGAGTTCCATCAAACCTCAAACCGAATTCGAACCGAATTATAATTCGGTTCGTTCGTTTCATACCGAATTATAATTTGGTTCGGTTCGGTTTTGTATGAAAAACCGAACTTGTGAGGTTAACTTGTATTTTTTCTCTTTTAAATTATTTTTCACCCCTAATGTAAACAATAAATATGCAATTAAATGCATCATCAATGATAAAATCAAACATTTCAACACATAAGTCATAAAACACTAACATACTTCAAATATTTAAGTCTCATAATAAGTACAAACATAAAAATCCACCATTTGGAACTTGCAATTATAGTAATTCGGAAATTCGGTTCGGAATTCGGAAATTCGGTTCGGTCGAAAGGACCTTGGTTTCCGAAATATACCCTTTTCTCTTCCGAATTCCGAACCGAATTAATGTTATTCGGTTTCGGTTCGGTTTGAATTCGGTTCGGTTAGGTTCGGTTTTACCGAACCGTATGCCCACCCCTAGCTGCTGCCGCCACCAGGGTCGCTCCCCGTCACCGCTGATATTCGTCGTTGCTGTTAACCAGAGGAGTTCGTCTAGGGTTAGGTTGACATCGTCCAGAAGCTTGACGCCATGGATCAAGTGGTAATCTGTTCGTCGGGCGGGTCTGCGATTGAAATTGTTGCTCCGCGGGAATGGATTGCAGATTTGAGGACGATGATGGTGTCCTACGACGTGGAGGATGAAGTTAGGGTTCGATGCAATTGTAGGTTTACGCATATTTGCATCTCTTCCTGTCTTTTTCGGTATTCCGAGCGGCGGCCGGAGTGATGGAACGAAAGATGTGTGGTGGCGGTAGCCGGGAAACTTTAAAGCATCTCCATGGAGAAATTGATCTTTACGGTTAAAAAAATTAATGTAATTCTACCAAAAAAAATAATAATGTAGAGAATATTTTATATACACAAATTAATTAAACATATTAATTATTTTAAGAGATATAAAAATAAGCTAAGGGCACTAGAGTAAAATTAACAGGACGACTAATAAGGAGTTTTAGGGTGATAAATAGCAATTCCCTAATATTCATATGTATCATCCAATAAGTCTACCGATAATATTCATGTGTCATCCAAAAAGTCTACCGATTATCGTCCCTACATCCAATTTCGCCGCATTCATTTCCCTGAGTAGGGTTGGAACTTGAATGGAGTTCCCGGTGATCTCCACATGAGGCTATCCAGAACCAGAATGGTTAGAGTATCATCACCATCCATCCCATGTAAATTGTGTCATTAGAGAGATGTAGGGTTGAGATTGGAAGTTGGAACTACCCAAGTTACCGATTTCAAAGCACTTTGCACTCAACCTGTGTTGTACATAGACTCTGCTTTCTTGGTATCTGCTGGCCGCAACATTGCTCACTCTACAACGACGAGACTAAATGCTTGGAAGTACTCTAGCCAGGAAGGAAGCAACAAACAACCAGATGCCTTCCTCCTGGACCACTACTGGTTTTTATTAAAAGCCACTGCACCAAATTACAAGCCTTTGATGTGGGCTGAAGAGTTAACTGGTTACCAAGATTGCTTTATCCTCCCCAGCAGCTAACATTCTTGCACATCTGAAAAGAGAAGCTTATCATCACAAGGAGTCATGTCTTGGTTTTAGTTTATTTCTCAAAAGTAACGTAATTAAAGCTCCAGAAAAACACACTTATTCCATGTTAATCATTTCCCTAAACTCACACTTTTGGTATTATTACTATATAAACTATCTACAATCTCATAATTACTTCGATACTGCAAAAAAGTATCTCAACATTCCTTCAATTCAACTTTTCTAATTCTCATCAAACACACTTTTTAATCACTTCTCCTCCAACTTAAGAAAAAGTAAGTTTCTAGCAAAAGTTATGGTACAAGAAGCTCACTAGGAGAATTTAGACACACCTTTGGCACCAAGATCAGCAGCGAGATTGGAGTGCTTTGCTGGGTTCTCAACTGAGATGCACCGCATTGATTGAGGAGAGGAGCAAGCATCACCTGAGCTCCAGTGTTCATTTAAGACTTGATCGCCCATCCGATTGTTTAAGTAGTAAATGTCCAAATTAGCAGCCGTTGCACAGGGCATGCCTACTTTTCTCTTGTGCTTGAACCTTCAACACCTAACAGGTGCGTGAGGGACAGGCGATAACAAAAGCACAAATATAGTTTCTAGCAGTATTTATTTTCGGTGTAACAGAAAGAGTACATAAGCAATTTTGAGCTACCTGTCTTTCCGCTTCTCCAGATATCTCTGCACCGATGCTTTTCTACTCGCAGGGCCTTCTACAAGGATTTTCCAACAAAAAGAAAATGGATGAGAGGAAATCTAGAAATTCAGATAAGTTATTAGCGATGGCATGAAACAACAATCAGACTTCTCCCAAGCCACTCATCAAGCCAGTGTCATCCCTATGTTTTCCGGTTGCTACTTTGGTTACTTAGAAACATCTCATCACATCAAGCTGGCCAAAGGTGTTCATGAAGATTGCATAAAAATCACATAAGCGAACATAGCGATCTAGTCAGATATCATAAGCATCCCATATGCCAAAATCATATACCCAAAACACTCAAAATTGACATTATACAAGGAAGAACGTACGCCTGAAAAATGGCAACAGTTTATTGGCAGGAAATAAGAGGGAGAAAAGGAGACAAGAGGAACATGGAAAATAAACACACATGACACAACTGAAGCCAGCTTCTCATTCTTCTTCAGTGCAATGAACTGCCTGTATATTCCCAAGTAACAACACTTGCATGCCATCAATCATCTCAGGTAACTTACAGAAGCGGAGGAAGACAAAGGCAGATAGATGTATGTTATCATACGCAAGGATACACTTTTATGAAAAAGAAAAGAATGCATAGCTAGCTGCCTTAGGCATTTACCTTGGTTGACTTCAGGAGTTAACTGGCAGTTGTCTCTTTGCAGCTGACAGTTTTCTGCCAGTTTCACTGTATTGACCAAAAACAAAACCAGTAAGAACATAAGTACAAAGTACCCACACTGAAGAATATATAAAAAGATTTCAGGAACTAGTTATACGGTTTCAAGCTTCATGCAAGACTTGCAGAATACTCCTTTTATCCTATACAACAATATTCCCCCCAAAAAAAATTGCTTACCTAACACTAATACTGCACTTGTTGAATATTTGAACCTTGATGTTATATATTGGCAACCAAGAATAGAAATCCATTCACGGAGTAATGAAGTTACACGTAAATGGATCTAATGTGGTTTCTTAGTGGAAATGCTACCAGTTTGCATGGAAGGGAAGCCCAATGCTGATGAAATTGAAGCTGCTTTGGGACCTTGAGTTTCTGATTGGCCAGGAAATGCCCATACTGGTTGATTGCCATCAGGTGAACTATCCTGAGTCAAGGGGAGTGGACTTGCAGCGAGCTGCAGGATAACTCGAGCCTGCAACATCATCCGGTTGAAACAGTTACCATACTGAAATGATATAATTCTGTATCAAGACTGTTTCTTTTTTCAGGGTATGGGCTGCTTGAAAGGACCTTATCCATTACCTTATCTCTTGGCATACCATCGTAGACGTTTACCTTCCCACAGTAAAATATGGTCATCTGCCCTGCTTGCTCGGTAGCTGCTGCTGCACCTGTACTTCTGAAATGTCAAGATACTCTCTTCAGCAGCTTGAAAATCAAGCCTCCCGAAATGGGGAATCAATATTCATAGCATTCTATCACAGGGGTACTATGTCCCCATAATCCCTACGGTACTGTCAGGAACAAAAAATGAGAGGGTCGCCTCAGAGAAGTGTAACACGACTACACAATGTGGACACACACAGTACAAATATAGCACATTTGGTACAGTCAATATTTTGCATCAAGTGACAACCTGGGGGAGACAGAATCATTATCTGCGGCGGCGTGACGGACGACCGGAGCAGATGGAGGAGGAAGAGGATTGTTGCCCGGGATGTCATTAAGCGGAGGATCATGCCGGCGATAAGGAGCAGATTCTTCGGCAGGGGCAGAGATCGGAGAATCGGCGGCGGTTACTCTCACCGAAACAGAGGGATTTGCAGGGGCCTAAAAGTGATGAAGACCACCCAACAATTCACAACCTTCGAATTAAATGAATCATTTAATTTAATCAAATGAAAAACAAGGGGGGAAAAGGTAAGAATAAAAAAAAAAAAAGAGCAAAGTAATCATCATTATTGGCCAGAAAGGGGAACTAGCTACTGGTCTGAAGCAAAGGGTAAAGAAACGCACACGATGGCCGTTATCGGGACGGGGAATGTAGCGCCTGCGCGGAGGAGGTTGGCCGTCGTCGGACTCCGGCGGAGCTTCAAGTAGGGTTTTCAGCGAGATCACTTGCTGGATTGCCTGCGATTTGTTCCACGACGGCCTTCTCATCCCTATAAACGGTAACATTCAAACCACAATTAGAAGAATCAGTTCCAGAGCGCAGCTGAGTCCCCGAGAAACTCCGACGAAGGAAAAGAGTAAGAAAGAGAGAGAGAGAGCAGTGCCTTTCTCTTTGAGGAATCTGCGGCAATCTTCGCGAGTGAGCTGAGAAATGTCATCTTCAGTGAGCTGGTGGAGCGGCTTCTCAAGCGGCGATCGAGCAGCGGTTTCGTCGGCGGCAGACTGCATGACGCCTTGGCAGAGAGATCCCGGCGAGGTTAGTCTGGTAATAGCGGAGCTGCTTTTGGGGGAATGTGGCCGTGAAAAAGGAGTAAGAGAAGGGGGAGAAGAAACAACAAAGTGAAGCAGCAGAGGGTGAGGTTTCGGAAGCCGTAAAGAAAAGCCAAACTGTGGACGTGGGTATGATCCCGTGTGTCGCGGCGTCTCAGTTTCTGGGGCTGTTGGATGAGAGAAAGGCGGTGGTCGATTTTGGATCGTTGATTGGCTGACCATCAACTGTTGATGCAGTTCAAATCGACGGCAAGTGGGAGGCGACATTGTGCTTGGGCGTGGGGCAGCAACCTGCTGCAACCCCAGAGCGACACGTAATTGCTTTAATGCTTTACCCCACTTTCCGTTCGCCGTTTCCATCCATCAGGCATCCGCATCACCGTCTAAAATTATTTTTGGCACAAAGCGACGAAGTTTAATGGCATCATCAACTGCACTGTACGTAGATTCTTATAGGGCTTATGACAGTTTTGGTACCTCTATTTCCGCTTATTTTACAAAAAGTGCCTCGACTGTAATACTCGCCAAAAATACCACTCATCCGAATTTTTGAAAAAATATACGTAATAAAACAATTTCCTATATAAGAGATTTGCGCAATTATTTTTTTCATTCTCCTTTTTATGGATTTCAGGACTAATAGCAGAAGGTTCGACTCACTTTTGTCAGGTCGAATTAGGTTGAATACCCATGAGTTTGTGTTCAATTTCATTCTCAACAAAAAATAGAGAAATTAACATACACTAATGCAGATAAAACTCGCTCACGATCCAAAACTAGACAACATCATATTCAACTCTCTTTGATCAGTTTGAACCGAGTTTGTAACAATAAAACTCACTCTCGTTCGAAAACTTGTAAACACTGGGTTCAAATCGTTTTGATCATGTTGAATTAGCTAGGTTGGATACCCATGAGTTTGGGTTCTCAACCAAAATGAAAAGGATAAATAAAAAAGCACTAAAGCGGATAAACTCGCTCCCTACCAAAAACTCTACACACCGTGTTGAACTTGCATTGACTGGTTAATTCGAACCGAGTTTTAACAATTCACACTCGACTCAACATGTCAATTCTAAAATCAGTTAAAACTCGCTCTCTATACAAAACTCGTCAGCACCAGGTCCGGTTTCAATTCATTCTCAAGTAAAAGCAAAAGGAGAAATAAAAAATATTAAAACTGATGAACCTCGCTCTCGATAAAAAACTCGTCAACACCATGTTCAGCTCGCTTTAACTGGGTCGAATCGAGTTTTTAAAAAAATCACACTCGACCAAACCTACCAACTGCAAAAGCATATAAAACTCGCTCTCGATCAAAAAATTGTCAACACCGTGTTCAGCTCGCTTTGATAGGTTCGAATCGAGTTTTTAACAAATTCACACTCGACTCAACCTACCAACTGCAAAAGCATATAAAACTTGCTCTCGATACAAAACTCATCAATACCATGGGTTTGAGTTCAATTATCATTCTCAAGGAAGGGGAAAATAGAAATTTAAATATACTAAAATCGGGTTCAAATTCGCTTTGACCTAGACGAATTATGTTGGATACCCATGAGTTTGAGTTCAATTGTCATGCTTAACCAAAAGGAAAAAGAGAGATAAAAAAAAATACTAAAAAATATGAAACTCAGTCTCGATACAAAATTCGACAACACAAAGCAGATTTGGTATGGATTTTCGATAGCAGTCTTAGGACACGGTGGATGGGTACTACTTAGGATTCCACCGAAAGTGTTTGGAGAAGGGTTGTGCATTATTGGGCGAATGCGAGGATTGTGTATAATATATAAGGTATGTCGGTGGCAGTCGTGGCAAACATTGGAAGAGGACAACTTATGATTTCGTCGACAGTGTTTCAAGATGGGTAATTGTTGCAACTTAGTAGACAATAAATAACTATTATGGGAAACCTAATGGGCAATAGATATAGACCCAACAAACAATAGATGAACAAATAGATTATAAAATAAGAAAGGAGGGCCGATTTGGTATTGATTTTTGATAGCGGTCTTAGGAAATGGTGGATACCAAGATTCCACCGAAAGTGTTTGGAGAAGAGTTGCGCATTCTTGGGCGAATGCGAGATGGTGCATAATAGATAAGGTATGGACAACTTATGATTTCGTCGATAGTGTTTTGATATGAGTAAATGTTGCAGCAGGGAAAACAATGAACAATAGATGAAAATTTAGTAGACAATAAATAACTATTATGGAAAACCTAATGGGCAATAGATGTAGACCCAACCGACAATAGATGAACATATAGATTATAGAATAAGAGACATGGGCAGATTTGGTATCAATTTTTGATAGCGGTCTTAGGACATGGTGGATGGGTACAACTTAGGATTCCACCGAAAGTGTTTAGAGAAGGGTTGTGCATTATTCGGCGAATGCGAGGATTATGTATAATAGATAAGGTATGGATCTTTGGTGGTATTCGTGGCAAACGGTGGAAAAGGACTACTTATGATTTCGTCGATAGTGTTTTGAGATGGGTAATTGTTGCAACAGGGAAAGCAATGAACAATAGATGAAAACTTAGTAGACAATGAATAACTATTATAGGAAACCTTATGAGAAATAGATGTAGACCCAACGGACAATAGATGAACAAAGAGGTTATATAATAAGAGGGGGAGGGGCATATTTGGTATGTATTTTCCATAGCGGTCTTGAAACATGGTGGATGAGTACAACTTATGATTCCACCGAAAGTGTATGGAGAAGGGTTGTGCATTATTGGCAAATGCGAGGATTGTGTATAATAGATAAGGTATGGATCTTCGGTGGCAGCCGTGACAATGGGCAATAGATGTAGACCCAACAGACAATAGATGAACAAATAGGTTATATAATAAAGGGGGGGGGGACAGATTTGGTATGGATTTTCCATAGTGGTCTTGGAACATGGTGGATAAGTACAACTTAGGATTCCACCGAAAGTGTTTGGAGAAGGGTTGTGCATTATTGGCGAATGCGAGGATTGTGTATAATAGATAAGGTATGGATCTTCGGTGGCAGCCGTGACAAACTGTGGAAGAGGACAATTTATGATTTCGCCGATAGTGTTTCGAGATGGGTAATTGTTGCAACATGGAAAACAATGAACTATAAATGAAAACTTAGTAGAAAACTAATAAATATTATGAGAAACCTAATGGGCAAATGATGGGTAATAGATGTATACCCAACAAACAATAGATGAATACATAGGTTGTAGAATAAGAGAGTGTGGTAAACAAAAGACTTGAAACTTCTCCACTTGCACTTGGAGGAGTTTATTTCCACTTGAAGTACTTGACTATAGAAGTATTCGCTATATGTACTTTTCCAAAAAGGCATTATGCTTTACACTATATGCTCGCTTTCATTGTCAAGCTCCAGATCTATCTCTAATTCATAACTAGAGCATGCAGTCGAACATTGGAGCCACTAATGAATAGTAAATCCAATGCTAGTCTTTAATATATTAATTAATAATATATTAATATATAATAGACAAGGTATGGATATTTGGTGAAAACCACGACAAATGGTGGAAGAGGACAATTTATGATTTTGTCGATAATGTTTCGAGATGGGTAATTGTTGCAAAAGAGGAAAACATTGAACAATAGATGAAAACTTAGTAGACAATTAATAACTATTATGAGAAACCTAATGGATAATAGATGGGCAATAGATGTAGATTCAACGGACAATAGATGGAAACATAGGTTATAGAATAAGAGAGTAGAGTAAAAGAAAGACTTGAAACTTCCCCACTTGCACTTGGAGGAGTTTGGGAGCCACTAATGAATAGTAACTCACATGTTAGGCTTTTTAAAATACACTGTATGATCCTGTGGTCGGATTGGTAGTCATTGAAGTAACTATTTATGAGAAATTTTATTGTGAAGTATGCAACGTCTTATCGTAAAACCTTAGCTCTGGTGACAATTATGGTCATCACTCAAATGTCTCATTGGTGATATATTGAGTTATCACCGATGATTTTCTTATGTGATAATGAAATTGTCACATTTACCTCTTTTGTGACAAGTGTTGATGACACAAATATATATCCACCGTGATGGTAGCTCACACAAATTCATATTGTGACAATAACATTCCAAAGCAATCAAATTCGTGTTGTATACAACTCTCAATCCAATCATGTTACTACATATCAATACTAACAATTGAAACGTGAAGCGAAAAAAATACCTGAATAACAAATCTAAAAATACAAATATCAGCAATAATGAAAAAATTATAACTCTCAAAAGGTTAAGGAGCCAGTTTTCTTCTGTGTACTCGGGAGGAATCAAAGTGACAACTTGAAACTTGAAAGCCTGCGAACGCAAAACAAATAAATTGTGCTTCTTGTATCAAGCGGAAAGATAGACCGTGAATGATAAACACTGAATATAAGTAAAAACAATTGTAATTACCGATATATAACTAGATTATGGAGATATCATATCTGATCTAACTCATCACGAGGCATGACTCACTCCTACTGTCACTTTAGAAAATGGACAAGTATAACCACTTCCTAAAGCGTAGTATAGCGGGTTTGGGTTTTAATGTCAACCCGGGTCCTAGATTTGATGACTACTCGGTGAATTCTTGTTATCTAGCAGTGAACTTTTAGTGCAGGTTCAAACAAACAAAAACGCAAAGCAAGTTAAACGGTTGTTTTCAAGTCAAGAGAGGTCACCCGGATATGGTTCCCCCTAGACTGCAGTTAAGCCGGATTGTAATTTACCAAGTTCAGTTTTCATGAAAATTATACTGCGGAAGGTTCTTAAACAGTCTGAAATCTCGACTAAAGGTCTTCAGACCCTCTCAATCTGAGTCTCTAGCGGGCGACTAACCTCCACCGGAGTAAACAGATTGAGGCCCTTACGATCCAAACCTCCACTACCGAATTGACTTCGGTACAGAATAGCGAATTGGCTCCTCGACTAAAGTCACCAATTCACTACCTTCAATTAAGGATACTCTATCAACCTAGGCAGATATTCTCATTCTAGATCAAAGCAGAAACAACAGGAATTTGATCAGGATTCAAGTCATTCAATCATTCAAACCTCAATCGAATATAATCAATTCATAAATTCTTGTACTTGGGTTCATACAATCAGACCTAGTATACAAATCTAGGGTTCTCCATACCCAGATGAATGGGGAAACTACTCCATGGAGAAAGAAGCAAAAACAGATTCAGACACGGAAATCATACTGTGAAGATGGATTTCTGCTTCTGGACGTTAATCGACACTTCTCCAAGCTCAAGCCGGGCTCCAATGGTGATGAAGATCAAGCTATGGCACTTGGGAACTCTGGTTCGTCGCTTTCTCTCTCTAGGAATCGCTTTGTCTCTCTAAAACTCGGAACCCTTGAATGTTGGCCTTCTTCTCCTTTAAATTGGCTGCCTGTCGCGATACCCGGTCGAAATACCCGGTCGGGTATTTTGGGTATCGACCGGGTATTATTTAAAACGCGCGTGTTGGTGGAGGAAAAATCCCCGGTCTGCTCCAATAATCCCCGACCGGGGATTTTACCTTCACGCCCGGGCCCCTCTCTGTTCCACGGGTGCCCAAAACGATAGATACCCGGTCGGGTATTTTGCCACCCGACCGGGTATTTTCCTCCTGCAGCCCACTTCGTCCCAACTTTGCTCCTTTCGACCCAGAACTCGTTTCTCTGCCTCGATTCCAACGCCGGGTCCTGAAATATGACATAAACACACGCCCTAGCGTGAAATCGGCTTAAAACTCGAGAATCAACATCTCAAACGACTTCAGAATAGGGGTGAAAACATGTGTAATTATCGGTCTATCAAGGCAACCTTCTCGTGTAGCGATTGAAGGCATTATATGGTAGAGACGGACTCCTGGAATTCCTTCCGTAGCTTGTTCTTCCCAAATTCCAGTGTCGCCCCGGCCGCAGTTTGGGAGTTCAGAATGCACCATCTATTCTTATTTAGCGTTAGAGAGAGGAAGGAGAAAACCTTAATATGATGTGTAGAATATATTAGTGGTAATTGATTTGTGATAACTCTTGGCCTTTAATGATCTAATAATTTAGAGGGATACGACTAGATCCCAAATCTCTTTATCCTCTCGAGATCGAACTTAGGAAATTTTCCCGTAAAAGTTTCCACGCGTGAGTAACTATTATTTAAGGGATCGGTTAATTAGAAGTCATTATGATGAATTTTAGATGTTTTTATAACGTTGTATATATAGGATTTGAAAACCCATGAATCGTACAAACTCCGTAAATTTGAAGCTAATAAATTGTGAGTTTGGTGGATTGAGTATAAGTCATTAGGATGGATTTTACAAGATAATAAATAGATAGACGCTATGAAATGGTTGAACCATTATTTTAGTATAAAATATTTTATTATTAATGACTTTTTCGAAATAACCTTTGGAAACATTTTACAATCCTTGCTGGCTAGTGAGTAGGAATAAATGGTGAAATCGTTATGGTAAAGTATGATGAGCAGGTGATGATTGATAGCTTTTTTTTAACGATGGGGAAATCTGCTGAGTTCGGCTGCCCCATTTTCAATATGCTTTCTTCTTTTATCAAATTGCTTACTTGATAAAAACATGTAAATGTAAATAAAACAAGTACAAACATGGCATTTATAAAACATATAGAGGTGAAGTACAAAATTAATATGTCGCAACACAATTTGGTATAGATTTGCTTAAAATATACAAAAAGGCAACATAAAATTGATTCGTGATATAAGTGTTGTGTATGATAGGCAAATGCAACTAATATTTTTAGGTAATTAATTTGAGTTGCGTAATTGCCTTATTAGCAACCTCATAAAAAAGTGTTCTAGTTGTATATTTAACATAACACTTTAAAGTAGAGTTGCGATCAAAGGGTTGCAAGAGCCCCTTTTTCCCGTGGTGTTGCTATGAATTTTTGATAGCGATCTTGGGATATGGTGGATGGGCAAGTGTTTGGAGAACGGTTATGCATTATTAGGCAAATGCGTGAACTGTGTATAATAGATAAGGTATGGATCTTCGGTGGCAGCCGCGACAAATAGTGGACGAGGACAATTTATAATTTCGTCGATAGTGTTTCGAGATGAGTAAGTGTTGCAACTAGGAAAACAATGGACAATAGATGAAAACTTAGTAGACAATTAATAACTATTATGAGAAACCTAATGGGCAATAGATGTACACCCAACAGACAATAGATGAACAAATAGATAATAGAATAAGAGAGGGGGCAGATTTGGTATGGATTTTCGACAGCGGTATTAGGACATGGTGGATGGGTACAACTTAGGATTCCACCGAAAGTGTTTGGAGAAGGGTTGTGCATTATTGGGAGAATACGAGGATTTTGTATAATAGATAAGATATTGATTTTTGGTGGTAGTCGTGGCAAATGGTGGAAGAGAACAACTTATGATTTTTTCGATAGTGTTTTGAGATGGGTAATTGTTGCAACAGGGAAAGCAATAAACAATAGATGAAAAGTTAGTAGACAAGAATAACTATTATGAGAAAACTAATGGGCAATAGATGTAGACCCACAAGACAATAGATGAACAAATAGGTTGTAGAATAAGAGGGAGCAGGGGCAGATTTGGTATGGATTTTTGATAGCCGTCTTGGGACATGGTGGATGATTACAACATTCAATTCTCCCGAAAGTGTTTGGAGAAGGGTTGTGCATTATTGGCAAATGAGAGGATTGTGTATAATAGATAAAGTATGAATCTTCGGTGGCAGCCGTGACAAACGGTGGAAGAGGACAATTTATGATTTCGCCGATAGTGTTTCGATATGGGTAATTGTTGCAACCGGGAAAATAATGAACAATAAATAAAAATTTAGTAGACAATTAATAACTATTATGAGAAACCTCATGGGCAATAGATGTAGATCCACTGGACAATATATAAATACATAGGTTATAGAACAAGAGAGTTGGGTAAAAGAAAAACTTGAAACTTCTCCACTTGCATTTGGAGGAGTTTGAGAGTTTGGAGAAGTGTTGTGCATTATTGGTGCATGCGAGGATTGTGTATGATAGATAAGGTATGGATATTCAGTGGGAGCCGCGACAAACGGTGTAAGAGGACAATATATGATTTGACCGATAGTGTTTTGAGATTGGTTATTGTTGTAATAGGGAAAACAATGAACAATAAATGAAAACTTAGTAGACAATTAATTACTATTATGAGAAACCTAATGGGTAATAGATGTAGACCTAACGAACAATAGATGATTACATAGGTTATATAATAACAGAGTGGGGTAAAAGAAATACTTGAAACATCCGCACTTGCACTTGGAGGAGTTTGGGAGCCACTAATGAATAGTAACTCTTATGTTAGGCTTTTATATATTAAATAAATTAATTAATTAGTAGACAATGAATAACTGTTATTGAAAACCTAATGGGCAATAGATGTAGACCCAAAAGACAATAGATGATCATATAGGTTATAGAATAAGAGAGGAGGCAGATTTGTTATGGATTTTCGATAGCGATCTTGAGACATGGTGGATGGGTACAACTTAAGATTCCACCGAAAGAGTTTTGAGAAGGGTTGTGCATTATTGGGCGAATGCGACGATTGTGTATAATAGATAAGTTATGGATCTTCGGTGGCAGCCGCGACAAACGGTGTAAGAGGACAGTTCAGGATTTCGTTCATAGTGTTTCGAGATGGGCAATTGTTGCCATAAGGAAAACAATGAACAATATATGAAAACTTAGTAGACAATTAATAACTATTATGAGAAACCTAATGGGTAATAGATGGGCAATAGATGTAGACCCAACAGACAATAGATGGAAACATAGGTTATAGAATAAGAGAGTGGAGTAAAAGAAAGACTTGAAACTTCCCCACTTGCACTTGGTGGAGTTTGAGAGCCACTAATGAATAGTAACTCACATATTAGGCTTTTATATATTAATTAATATATTAACTAGTTTTCTTGCCTGCGCTCCGCGCTGGGACTTGAGGACCAATAAACAATATTCAAGAGATGATTTTGTAAAGGATAAAGAAAAATTCACATCCATGGAACCGTATAAGTTTAAGCCAAATTAGATAATTTGCAATTAATTTTCATTGAAGAATGAGATAAAAGTTGAGGACCTTTCGGTATCTCCAGTTATGATGCAAAAGTATTCATGAGAATAGAGGAAAATTACGGAGGCATCCAAGCAACGTTATAGCAAAACATCTATATGAGTGTGCCATTGATTATATAAAGAAAAATCATTACACATGCCACAACATGCCTAATTACCAAGAGTTGTTTAAACTCTACATGAGAAACAACTAAGTTTATCAACATGCACATTCACTCCTAGAACCAAACTATTACATGTGCCATGTCATGAGTAGCAACTCACCGATGACATGATTTACAATGGACAATAAACCTTAACTAAAAGGATTTACAAAGGTCCGTCACAAACTGAAAGTAACCCAGAGCGCCAAATCTTCAATATGTTGCAACTGCAAGGGTGTTGAAACCATAAGAATTGATAGCTAAAGGAAAAAGAGTGGGCACCAAGGATAGCTAGTAGTATATAGGAATGAAATATCTCATTAGGTGACCCGAAAAGCAACCAACACATAGTTATTTCATGGGTCAACCATCATGGTTCTGAAAGTAGGCTTGCTGAACATAGATTATAAGAAAAGCAGTTTAAATCAGAGTTTTAAAACTTCAGAAAACATCAACTGGTGACTACATAGACGAATGGCCATGGATTCAAACAAATAGATTTGGATAGTGGCAAAGAGAATACAACTTTGAAGTATTGAAATCCAAACAAACAATGAAACTGCATCCATAGACATCAGAGTATCAAAACAAATGCTAAAATTGCCAAAACATTTAAGTTAAACATTTAGGTAAAGAATTCAACACCTAGGTCAAGGCGGACATAAAATTAACAACTTGAGCATATAAATAGCAAATCATGTAACCTCGAGAGTAAATAGGGAGCATATTGATCAAGTTGCACATCCTTACTTCCCGAGTTGTTGTGGTTGATCGAATCACCATTTTCAATCCGTCGTTTCAACTCTCCTCGGCAGCAAACACGGTAGATCTAACAAATCTTCTCGTGGTACTAGGAAAGGAGCTCTAGTTAACACAGTAAGGGGATTTTGTTGCACTTGGACCACTGATTTGGCTCCGGGTTGGGGTGTTCGTTCACTGGGGGTTCTCTCTTTGACCCTCACTCGCTAGACCACCCGTAACCTGTTTGAGACCCGATTTTTCTGTCGCAGCCCCAAGAGATCTGCAAAATGGAGTAGAACAGTGAGATACTCTCTTCTAAGTTTAAAAAGGGGAATTGAGATGATTAACATAATTGATTCTTGGTCATTAAGAAATTTCTGGAACCCGAAGCATATCTGTAGCTCCAGATCATCTTCTTCGTCAATGGAAGGATGTATGAACACTGGAAAAAGTATTATGACTAGGAGGTTAATTGACACATCAGTTACCAACCATCTTCTGCCAAATCCAAGCTAACTTCTTTCATCGTCATTGTCCACCAAACAAACATACCTGTGAGCACGATCAGTCCATTTACATCAAGAAAAATAGGAGATAGCAGAACTCAACAAAGATTGTTGGTCACCAGTCACTCTTACCTCAAGAAATATTAAAGCGCAACGAGAAAGAACAACTTCCTATGTCATATCGTGCCAACTATTCCATAAGAGATTCCATTCTTACGAAAGGCATCCATCGCAATCAACCACGCTTTCTAGATAACAGAGAAGAAGAAAAATGAAGTACACATGCCACAGCCAAGAAGAACTGTAACAAAGGGATTCCTCAAATCCGGTTTAGATACGTAGCTTTAGATCGTTTTCTTCGTCTTGAAGGTCTTCCACAGTCGAGGATCAAACCTAG